TAGTAACGTACCTACTTGGGTTGTTTGAAGCCCCAGTAAAAGGGCTACTACAGACAGGTGACAGCAGACAACCTTACTGCACTCAGAGACCTGGACCCTCGGCCCAAACCCATGTTATTGGGGAAGTAAGGCAACGAGCTCCGGTGGCGTGCTGTTTTCCTCGACTGCTGCACGGAAAGGCCACGGGGCGAAAATACCACACAAACTAGAGCTTTGTAGGTGCTTTCTGCTAAGAGAAAAGTTATATATACATATATATATATATATATATCTGAGTGCATATTGACACGCCTTTACAGATGCTCGATTGGTTTTGTAGGGTTTAAAGTTCCGGCATTCTAACAGTCAAGCACAGGTTCTTATATAAACAACCCACCCATAAATAGCACCAGAGCAATGAGTCATTTGGCCTTGCCAACCGGGGTCTTGCCGAGACAGTCCCATCCCCACCCAACCACCTTACCCCACCCCCAGCACCCGAACCACCCCCACACCCAACCACCAAAACCACCAAACCACCCCACCCCCAGCACAACCGCGGAACCAACACCCTCAACCACCCCACCCCCGCGAGCGCCCCACCCACCACTCGAACACCCCACCACCCCAACAGAGCCAACGGCCAAGGTAGAATTCTAAACAGAGGAACTGCGTTGACTTCAACAGTTGTTTGGCCGAGATCTGATTGTGAGTGCACCAAGTTCTGCACCAGAAGTAGCACAAAAAGGAGCACAACATTTTGCATCACCACCCCCCTTGTGGCTTGAAGCGGGGGGGGGGGGTGAGGCTCTGAAATATTTCAGGGCAGCTTCGGTCGATGTCGGGGTTAACACCTGGGTGGTGGGTCGGGCTTGAAATTTCAGGGACATCCTGGGATGTCGTTGCATTTTCCATTTCCAGATAGTCGAGTCGCCGTTCGTTTCCGCAGGACACCGGCTTATCCCGGAACATCGCCACTGCTTCTTTTCTCCTCGTCCAGCAGCCCCCCCCCTGTGCGCCAACAGGCATCAGCTTTTCTGATCCCTGTTGCCACTGCCCCGCCCCTTTGTTTCCCCTTTGATGTGGGATGCACATGTACTGGATTCTAAGTGCAGCATGTCTGGAACATCCCACATCACACCGGCGTCAAAGCAGGCGGATGCTGGTGATCCTCCCGAGGGTTCTTTGGCCCGGGCACCACCTGAGCAAACTTGCTGTACACGCTCTTTCTAAAGTCGCGGGAGCTCGTCGCTGCAAATGTGTGCTTGAAGTACCTGGACATGGGTTGTTGTGGGCGGCCTGCAGGGAACTGCTGGGAGAAAAGGTTGTGACCATGGCCGTGCTTGTGGGAAACGAGCACTTGGACCCTGCCTAGTAGGAGTTTGATAGATTTCTATT